TCCTCCCACTGGTGACTGGCCACGTCTCCTCCTGGTCGGTTGTCCCCTCCCCTTGGATCCCTTCTCCGTGCAGGTGAGCAGGCCAGGACCCTCCTGTCCTTCTCTGCCTCCTTTTTCTTCTCCCCAGAGCTGTGACCCTGCAGGTGACTCCCAGCCATGAGGATCCTGCCTCTCCTCTGTGCTCTTCTCCTCCTGATCTTCCAGGGAGCAGCAGGTAAGAGATGGTGGGGGGTGGAACATGGAGGAGTTGTCCTCTGATGGTGTTTTGTAAGGAGAATTTGCCAGCTGAGGTGGTGAGCCACGTGTGACTTCTCCTGGTTGCTGTGGCTTCTTCCTGGGGGTCCCTCAGAGCCCATACCTGTAAGAAAAGGCTCTTGCTGTAGGTTCTGCAGCTGGGACACCAGCTTGGACATTGTGACCAAGCTCTTGCATGCCGTGGATGAGGATCTGTCACCTTTCTGTGCCTCCTGGCCCTTGTCTTTCTGAGTCAGCAGCATGGGGCAAAGCAGCCCTGCTGGGGAAGAGGAGGAGGAGGAGGGAGGAGGGCAGATGCTGCTTCCACCCTCCAGGTCCTCTCCTGTGCCAGGAGGAACCAGCAGACATGTTGGAGGCTGCTGAAGGAGCCTCCACCCCAGCACCATAAACATCACCTCGATTTCTTCCGTGGGCACTTCCTCAGGCACTGGTGGCAGGGGGCACTCAGGGCTGGGCTAACACTAGCCCCAGAGGGACCGGGGGCTGCGCTCAGCATCTCAGCAGGGCCGGGCTGAAGGTCTCCTCTTGCCGTGCTCTGCAGGGCTGTCCCTGGCTCGAGGGTCACCCCAGGACTGTCAGCGCCGTGGGGGCTTCTGCTCCCCGGGGTCGTGTCCTCTGGGCATCGGCCGCGTGGGCACCTGCTCCCAGCACGACTTCTGCTGCCGCAGGTAGGTCCAGGGCTGCCCGAAGGCTGCTGCCTGTCGGGGTTCCAGGTTGGAAAAAGAGGGGAGAATATGCAGCTGGAGGTCCTTGGGGACATCCCTGAGCCCTCTCTGCTGCCCTGGTGGGGTTGGGCTCTGCCAGACCTTTCCCCTGGCAGACGCTGGTATCCCTGATGGACTCCCGGGTGCCCGGTGCCAATCTCTGAGCAGCTCTCCAAGACCAGCCCGTGGCCTTGCAGTGAAGTTGGGGAGATGCTGCCTGAAGGCACCAAGCACTGCTGGGGGTGGTGGCAGCCCTGGACAGCCAGCCCGTGGTCCTGTAGGAATCCCTCCACCCCCGTGTCCCAAATACAAGCTGCTGGTTTGTGTTCCCACTGCTGAAGTGTGTCTGTTTGTCCCCAGGGAACAGCATCAGGGGGTTCTTCTCTTTTTCTCCACATGTAGGGAAGGGCAGAGAAGATGAAGGGAATTCCTGATAGTCAGGGACCCACAAACACATATATGCCCAACTCTCAACTATCTTCTCTCCAAGTTGCCCCTGACCCACAGCAATATCCCTCCCGGTGTGTGGGGACACCCCCAGGGACCCCACCACCAGCCTTCCCTCTCAGCAACACACCCCACATCCAGGGTCAGGGGTTGCTATGAATCTCTATGAGCTCCAGTGGGTGTTTGTTAGTTGGTCATGGGGTTTCAAGCCAGGTCAAGAGTTCCCATGGGGCTATCTCACAGGACATGCCACTCTGGTGGTCTTGGGTCCATTCCCAGCTGTGGGACTTGGATGTGTGGTACCAGGTGGGTGTTGTGGGGTGCAGGGGTAGGTTGGGGGGTGGTGGAAATCATCTTGCTCCTGAGGAAACAGAGACTGATGGCTGGACCACCAGGCCACTCAGGAGTTTGGGACTGAAGTGGGAGACTGTGCTGGGATGGTGGTGGGGTCAAGAGTGGAGCTTGGGGGGATCAGTTAAGAACCTGGGGCCAAGCTGTGGGGTCAGCATTGTGGATGAAGCTTGGGGCAGACCTAAGATGCTCAGCTCAGGGGGGGCCATAGGGGTGGCCCCTGCACTGCCACTGGCAGTCACCACGGGGGTTGGAAGGGCAAGAGTCATCCCACTGCCCCCACCCAGGGAGCTGGGAAGGCCAGGGGGGCTGGTAGCAGCCATAGCCTGGGGCATTGGGCACATCTGTGGGCATGGGCCAAGGCCAAGGCAGGATGCCAGCTGTGGGTCCAAGTCCAGGTCTGGCTCAGCAGGGCCAAGCTTCAGCTCTGGTGAGGGTCCAGCACAAGATCCCCAGCTCAAAGCAACTCCCCTGGCCAGGGGTTGGCCCCAGCCATGGCCTCCCTGCAGTGTGGGCTGGAAGTCTTCTCCACACCATAGTTAGAAGCCCTTGGCTTGCCCTCAACTGGTCCTGAGCCTGCTACCAAACCTCCAGGAGTGAGGATGGTCTCTCTGATGGGTAAGCAGGGGCAGCTCCCAGCACTGAGAACCCTCCAGGGCTGGAGCTCCTGCCAAGGGCTGGGGGTGCAGAAAGGCTCTGGCTCCTCCTGGCTCCTTTGCACACCGAGGTCACTGCTCCACCTCGGGGACCACGTTGGGGTGCAGGAAGTCAACGGAGAGACCCTGAGCTGGCCAACGAGGGATTCCAGCCCATGGACGGCGTGGGCAGCAGGCAGCTGTTTTTTTTTGAGCACGGGGCCCCAGCCTCTTCTTCAGTGGCTGGCAGCCAAGGAGGACTCTGCCCATCGTGCCTTCAATCCCAATCCTCGTGTTCCTGAATCCAGTTCCTGAATCCAGTTCCCAGCTCCAGTTCTCATCACTGATGGAGTGCTCGTCATGGAGTTCAATTGTCATGGAGTTCAATGTTGACTTTGCATATATTTGTATATATTTGATTGGTTTCTTATTAATATTATTGGCTTTTTATTGTTGCTGTTCATTAAAGCTATAATAATTCTTTTTCCAGCCCATAAATCTCCCTTATTCTCTTTGTGGGAAGTGGGACGGGTTGATAAAGAACATTTGTCATTCATTTAGTCACCATCTCAGCCTCAACCTCTTGACACCCACCTTGTCTTTACCATTCTGAAGCATCACATAATTCCTGTAAATCCACAAACTCTTCATCAATCCACACCTCTAAGTCCTAATAAGTCCTATTCACCATCATTCAGTTGCATCCCTTAGTCTGCAGAGCTTCACACAGACTTCCTCCTCTTGAACCACATTTATGGTTGTACCAGACCATTTTAGGACTATTAAATTCAGACAGAATTAGATTGTTTGTGATGTCACCTAATCACTTTTCTCTGCACATTATCTGTCAGAGGAGCCATCAGAAAGGCAGCCCTCTACTTGTCACATCTTGGTATGTCAATGTCAATCACCTTGGCATGGTCAAAAATGTTCTTGTAATGGTAAAATGAGGGAAAAGTAAAATATTTTGTATGCTCCTGAGTGTCACACACTGCCTGCTTTGTAAGCAACCTGAGAGGAATGGAAGAGACAGATATTTCCTACTTTCATGCTGGTGTCTACACCAATGAGCCTGCTTCACCCATCCTGAGAAGTTCCTGCTGGGAGTCACCACCACTTGGGTGTCCACCCTGACACAGGAGGATAATGGTGAGGTTTGCAACAGCCCCAGGAGGCACCTCAGCCTCTCCCGTTGCCTCAGAGAGGGACAAGGTGCAACCCCACCATCCCCATGCAGATGGGGCACCCCCTGATTGGCCAAGGGGAGATGTGTCAGCAGTAAGAAGCTCATGTCCCACCCACTGGCAATAGCATAAAACCAGGGTGTTTTGGCTAAAACAGTACTCCTTGGACTCAAGGACACCTGGACACAAGTGATTCCTGTTGGGTTTGTTACTACCTGAACACCAAGAGCTTCATCAGGTAGGTACCTGTGGGATCAATTTCTGGACAACTGCCCATGCAGCTTCTCTGTTCAAGTCCCATCACCACAGACTCATTCAAATGACAAATTCTTGAAGTACCCATGCAGATAATCAGGCCATCAGAGCTGCCTGGGAAAGAGAACAAAAAACCTCTCTATGAGTCTTGAGAGCCCAGAACACGTGGAAGATGGAACCAAGGCTCCCTAACTACAGAAGAGACTGCAAAGGTGCCTTGATGCTGGAGGAGGGACCTGAGATCTTCTCTTCTGGGTGAACAGGGATTTTCCTCAACAAAGTAGGAGATACTTTTCCCACTGAAAGGACTCCTGTCCTTTCAGGCTTTCAATTAGCTCAGAAGGTTGATTGGTGTGGCTGTTTCTGGCCACCAAGGCACTTCCCTGCCCTGCTCCTTCGCTTGTGGTTGGGGATGCGTGGGACAGGGGCACTGAGTGTGGGGCTGGGGAGTGTCTCTGCTGGGAAGCCTGGGAATGGTCTGGAGTTGAGGATGGACTCTCCCAAGGGGACCTGGGAGGCCTTTCCTGAGCGCAGGGCAGCAGAGGGGATTGGCCAGGGTGTTGGGGGCATCCAGCTTTGGACTGGCTGAGGTGATGGAGAACACCCACTAACCCTTTGTATAGCGTGACGTGTCCAATTCCCTAAATCCCAGAGCCTGGATCCTTCCTTGTGCCCATGGTCTGGCTGTGGGCATGGCACTGGGTGTTGGCACGAGCACCTCCTGGTGTGCAAACCTCCCCTGCTCTGCTCCTGGGTTAATGAGAGGCAGAAATGAGAGTGGAGAGCCACAGGCAGTAATTCTGATTTGCTTGATATCATATGTTTCATTCCTTGGCTGGGGACAACCTTGGGGACAACCCATTTCAGGCCATAGGCATTTAGCACCTTCAGAAGACAAGGGAGATTTGGGTCTTTCCAGCAATAATGGGATAGATGTTTGTTTCTCATGAGGAAAGTGCTTGATACAGGAATCACAAGGGAGTAAAACTTCATTTGTTCCCCAGCTTTGGAAGGCAATTTTATATCTCCATTTTCCTAATTTCACATAGTGTTATTTTGATTGATACGCTTCTCACACCAGGCTTCTGCATAGCCTGGTGTCCTCCATGCCCTTGTTGTCTTGGTGTCCCCCTCTGCAGCTTTGTGAAGACCCAAGACAAGCATCAGACATGAAGATCCTGTACCTGCTCTTTGCCGTCTTCCTCTTGTTGGTGCAGGGTGCTGCAGGTGAGAGGGGAGGAGGGGAGATGGGGTGAGGTGTGAACCCCCATCAGTGGGGTTTTCCATGTCCTGGGAAGTTATCCTGTTAGTTAGAGTGATGCCATGGATAGGGGGTGATGAAGAAGACATTTGTGCAGTGCCCTTCCAAGAGGACATGGATTGGGGTGGGAGAGAGCCCCTGGAAATAGAAGCCTGGCTCCTTCTGCTGGTCAGGAAGGGGGTTGGTTTTGGTCTCCAGCCCTGCACTTGGCTGTTCCTCTTTGGGAGGTCTCTCTGCAACCTTTTACCAGCACACAAGGCTCTGCTGGATGATGGTTGTGACTGTTTTCTGTGTCCCATTCCCTTGGAAACAGGAAGCACACTTGGATGCTCTCAGAGAGGGGGCTACTGCACTTTCGGGCGCTGCCGTTACCCTGCAAGGTCTATTGGAAGATGTTCAGTGTTCCGCTCATGCTGCAGAAGGTAAGAAGGAGAGTCTTGGCTGAGGAAAGAGTTTCCTCCCTTGCCCATGGAAATACCTGGTGAAACTTGCCTTCTGTCCAACGCCTGGTGAACACTCTCCTGAATTTATGCTGTGTGGGAGAGGCCCAGGAAGGAAGGGGAAAGCCCTGGTGGGTTTCGACTTGCCCAGAGCAGGGCTGAAGGAGCCCA